AAAATTCTCTCCTGACTATCACAGGGGCCGCTGGACACTGGGGGGCAGTTCGATCCCTGGCATCACCTGCTCCCCTCCAAGCACGGCTGGGCGTGACCCAGCAGGCCCTGGAGAGTCCCTGGGTTGGCCAGGTAACAGAGCAGTCGGTGCTGCCTCGTCTAACCTCGCTGACCCCCTCAGCCCCCCACTCACCCATTCACTTGCCCGGAATTGGGGCAGGAAGGAACAGCCAGACGCAAAAGTTTCTGTGAGTCTCTGGCACGATACCGCTGGCCGCTGGTGGTACTCGACAGCTCAACAGTTAGACTGTTGTTGCTACTGTTGTTACAGTTGTTGTTTAGTGGTGGGGGGGAAGGTTTGGGCTACAGCTGGTGGTGCTCAAGAGTTCTTGCTGTAAAGTGATCATTATGTTTTCAGAGCAGTAAAAAACACAACAAATACAAAGTGACAGGGACCATATGCAACCTGCAAAAAGCCTGAAAGATTTGCTATCTGGCTCTTTACAAAGGAAGTTTATCAATCCTTATCTAACCTAAATATATATATATGGACATATATATACGTATTTTAAAATTTTATTTATTTTTATAAAGCTGTTCACAATAATTTATTACATTTAATATTCGAGCACCAATTCCCAGCACCATATTTCGAATGTTTCCACCCTGACCCCCAAAACCTGTCTCCAAAGCAGAACCTACATAATTTATCTTGTAGTGCTTGTTATGAATAACAAATGACCTAAAAATGATCCCCAAAAGTTTCCTTAGAGGAAAGTGTGTGAAGACTGTTGGTATCTCACCCTGGAGCCATTAAGCCCTTGTCTTGGGAAATCAGTGGTGTCGAGTATGAGATGTGGATGCCCAAAAATATTTTTAAAATAAAAGATGAAAAATGCGAAACCCCATGAGACGCCAAGAACCCAACCTGAGAGGGGCTCTGGGTGGCGATCTCGTGTCTGCAGCTTTCCGTCCCCTCAAGATCTCCACCTGATTTGGGCCTGCAGTAACCACACACGTGGGGCCTCACGGGATGGGGGTGGAGCCGACCCTTTCCTCTTCGTCCCAATAAGACCCTGAGTCGCCACCCATGAACAGCCTTTCTGGCTCCTGATCAAGCTGCTTAACGGCCATGATCCCAGAGACTCAGGAACAAATCTCAGAACCCAGCAGGTTTTGGCAGAAATCCCTCCAGATTTAATTGTTAAGGTTTCCGAATTTCAAAATCGTGCGGCCACTACTGCAGCCACACGATATCATATGTTATTCATAACCAACAATGGAAAACAAATTGTCTACTGTTGCCTTTTTTGGCAGATCTGAGTGTTGGGGTGAAATCCCAAATAATAATGGTGGGTCTGGTGTCAAAATATTGAATGTAATCAAAGTAGAGCTAGAGTAATGTGGAAATCATCTGCCCCATAGGTACGAGGAGGTTGTGGGATGGGGGTATACCTGGGTTTTTGGGGGTGGAGAATGGGCCCTGGTGAAGGTACGGGTGTTTCATTGTACGACCAAGACTTAAACCCGAAAGCTTTGTAACTGCTCTCATGGTGATTCAATAAATAAAATTATAAAAAATGGAAAAAAAAAGGTAAGGTGGAGTTCATGCCCAATTCAATCAGCTAATCAGTGGCTGAATAAATAGCAGTACTCCTACATTTAAAAAAAAAAAAGATCTCCACCTGAGATCTTTTTGGAGAGATAGCACAGTGGGCAGGGCATTTGCCTTGCACGCGGCTTACCCGGGTTCGATCCTCAGCATCCCATATGGTCCCCTGAGCACCGCCAGGAGTAACTCCTGAGTGCAGAGCCAGGAGTAACCCCTGTGCACCGCCAGGTATGACCCAAAAAGAAAAAAATAATAATAATAAAAAACAACATTAAAAAAAAAAAAAGATCTCCACCTGAGCTGAATCCGGGAAGATGAGGGCAGGCCCGGTTCACCATGAAACAGGCCAAGCAGCTAGCTCCCTGAGCTGCGCCCACCTCTGCCGTCCAGCCAGGGACACTTCCGCTTCCTCAGGCACCAAGGCTGCACCCTGCAGCAGGCGAAACCCAAAGTCCAGAGATAAAGAAATTCTTCCCAGGTGACACCAGCTACCACTGCACCAAAAGGTTTTCTTCGGCTTATTCAGAAATCAGAACTGCGAGCGGCAGCTGGGATGCTGGGATGGCGGGAAGAAGGCAGCAGAGGGGCCCGCTGAGCCCCGGATGAGCCGGGGTGGGGGGGGGAGCCTCAGGCACCCATGTCGGGTTTGGAGGACTGGAAGCTTCCATCCCACCCAGAGTTTTCTCCCCTGCAGAGTGGCCGGAAACACACACACACACACACACACACACACACTCAGAGGGGAGAGGGGCTGGGCTGAGGGCAAAGGTCAATGACTTCACCAGCTGATGATCAGGATGTCCACTGCTCAGGGGCCTGTGATGCATACGTCACAGACAGATACGTACTACACGGATGCCTGCTACATGGACAGACACATACTACACGGATGTCTGCTACATGGATGCCTATGACACAGATACATACGTACTCCATGGATGCATGCTACACAGATACCTACTACACAGATGCCTACTACAGATAGGTACATACTACATACTACACAGATGCCCACTATTCAGAGGCCTACTACACAGATATGTACGACACAGATGCCTGCAACACAGATGACTGTGACACAGATACACACTACACTGATGCTGGCTCCACAGATAGGTACTACACAGATATGTACTACACACATGCCTGATACACACACAGATACACGCTACACATATGCCTGCTACGCAGATGCCCACTACACAGACAGATACATACTACCCAGATACCTGCCACACAAGCAGAGGCCTACAACACAGATGCCGAGTACTCTGATGCCTGCAGCTCTGGGCAGGCTGACTTCTGGCTCTGTGCTCAGGCTTCACTTCTGTAGGGGGTCAGTGGACCATCTGTGGTGAGAGCACCTGGGTCGGCCGCACGCCAGGCAAGTGCCCTACCCACTGTACTATCGCTCCAGGGAGCAGGAATATAGGGAAGAAAAGGAGAAGAGAAGAGAGGAGAGGAGAGGTGGGGAGGGGAGGGGAAGGGAGGGAAGGGGAGGGGAGGAGGGGGGAGGGGAGCGGAGGGGAGGGGAGGGGAGGGGAGGGGAGGGGAGGGGAGGGGAGGGGAGAGGAGAGGAGGGGAGAGGAGAGGAGAGGAGAGGAGAGGAGAGGAGAGGAGAGGAGAGGAGAGGAGAGGAGAGGAGAGGAGAGGAGAGTGACGAAGGGACACGAAGGGGAGAGAGGAGACCATCCCCTTCCAGCACGGGTCCCGGACATGTATCTGGACCCCATCAGGCAGAGCCCCTGCCCAGAGGAGTTTCTGCTTCTCCTGCCGCGGCCCATCGGGCCGAGAAGCTCTGCCTGTTGGCACCACCACTCCACGGCTTCCTATGTCTCCCAGGAAGCTGCCCCCACCACCACCAACTTTCTCCCCCGCAGAGAGGGACCCAGAGACCTTCGAATGGCCGGAAACACACACACACACACACACACACACACACACACACACACACACGACAGACGGCAGTGGCGTTGGCCACACTGAGGGCAGGAAACAAGCCTCCAGCCGTCAGAGGAGGCCGTAAAAATGATTACCTTTTCCTGCCATTAGTTTTATGAACTTTCCCCAGTAATGAGTGGAATCGTCCCTCATGCAGAAGAGTAAAGAAATCAATACTGCAGGAAGGCGGCCTGAGGGGGCGGGGGGGGGGGGGAGGAAGGGGGAGCTCCAGCTGGAGGCGGCTGGGTGACCCTCATGCCCTGTGGTGGGGTGCCCTGCCCCCAGGCTCCCTCGGTCCAGCACCAGGCAGACTCAGACGAGGAGAGAAAGCCGCCCCCACCCCCCCCCCCCCGCCTACACCCCCTCCCGCCCCCCGGCCAGGCCCCACCCCTCTCCCTATCGCCCACCCCACACAGTGCAAAGACCACCTCTAGCCCAGCGGCCCTATGTGGGCAGCTGCCCTGGGCTTACTCAACATCAAGGCGCGGCCCCGCAACCGCCGACACCCACATCCCCCTATGATCAGCTCATTCTGCATCTGTCCAGACCACAGCACCTCCCTCTGCCACAGCACCGAGGAACAGAAACCAGGCCGGGAACGTCACCCGGGAGGGTGGTCGGTAGGTGCCGGTGTGTGGCCAGTCCCCTGAGAGCAGGGGACAGAGGCAGAGCAGCAGCCACCAGCCTGGTCAGCAGCCCAGGTCCGGCAGACCCCCTCACTCACTCACTCACTCACTGAGGGTCCCCAGAGAGGGGTTCGCCTCGGCGGCACCCGGGCGCAGTGTCCAGAACCCACACGCCCACAGCCAAGAGGAGAGGCGTCGTTCCCAAAGAGGAAGCTGGCCCCAGAACCGCCAACTCACCGAGATGACCCACAATGGGGCCGGAGTGAGGCAGGGAGCGGGCCATGGTTGCCGCTGACCCGGGTTCGATCCCCAGCATCCCACACGACTCCCTGAGCACCACCAGGAGTAATTCCCAAGTGCAGAGCCAGGAGCGAGCCCTGAGCATTGCCGGGTATGGTGGGAGACAAGCCTCCGGCAGGAGAAGATATGGGCCCCCTGCCACCACCGCGGGCCTGCTGAGCCCCAAGGGCAGTGGGGAGCAGCTGCCTGACAGCGCCCGCCAGCCCAGAGACCCTTGACAAGGATGCGGTGACCGAGCACTTCCAGAACCTTCTGGGAACATGCCCAGTCCTGGGCAGCGAGCCTTGCTTCTGCTCCCTGCACACTCCCCCATGTGGTCCCGCCAAAGCAGGTGCGGCCTGCACCCCAGCTGTGGCCACGGACCTGACCCCCATCCCACCGCCCTCGCCACACCTCCCAGTCCTTCCCACAGACACGCGCCACCTACAGGACCCCCACGGAGCCCGAGCCCACAGGGGGCAGGCTGAGGACACGCCGACAGTGGCGCGGGCCCCCTGGGGAGGCGGTGGGCACGGCACTCACCAGCGGCAGGGATGCCGGCTTCTCGTGGTCGCCGCCCTCGCCCTTCGGCAGGGACGGGCGCCGCGGTTTCCGGCCCGCCTCTCTCTCCTGCTTGGCCAGCTGGGTCAGCTCGTCCTGGAACGTGGCCTGCTCCTGCTTATACCTATGACAAGGAGAGCGCAGGAAGAAGCACGCGCCAAGGGTACGCCGGGCGGAAGGTGGCCTGGGGGTGGGGTGAGGGGGTCTGGGGGGGCGAGGAAGCAGCCCAGGGCAAGTGGGACTGGCACAACCGGGGTGCACCCAAAGGCGCAGGGGACGGGAGCCCCTCCTCTCCAGGAGCTGGGGGGAGGGGGTTGTCGACTAAAATAGCCTGCGTGTGCACCCACCCCCAACGTATTTCTAGCCGTGTGCAGTAATTCCAAAGAGAGGAGGAAGTTGACAGCGCTAAGATGCTCATAGCTGAACCACTTATTCCTGCGGGAGAAATGTCCAATAACTCAAATGCCCAATATAAGGAAAATCGGGTCTATCGGAGGCTGGCAACAGTATGGCAGGGCGTTCGAATGTGGGCCCTTTGGTTTGTCTGTGGATGAAAACTTTCGATGGAGAAGTGTGGGGCGGGAGTCGCAGGTGGTGGGGACCAAAAAAGGTTGTTTGCCTTGCAGGCAGCCAACTCAGGTTCCAGTCCCAGAACCCCTCCTGGGTTCCTGAGCCCCAACCGGAAGTGAGAGCCAGGGGTAGGCCCTGACCACCTCCAGGTGTTGCCCCCCCCCAAAAAAAACCCCACCATTTTTAATAAAATAAAATGAAGAACTTTTTTTTATTATTATTATTTTGGGGGGTCACACCCGGCGATGCTCAGGGGTTACTCCTGGCTCTGCACTCAGCAATTACTCCTGGCAGTGCTCAGGGGACCATATGGGATGCTGGGAATTGAACCCAGGTCGGCCGCGTGCACAGCAAACGCCCTACCCACTGTGCTATCGCTCCAGCCCCAAAATGAAGAACTTTAAGTAACACTTTTAACAATAAAAAAAAAAATGCTTACAAAAACAAACACGACACATAAAAACGATCATTTAAAACTAGGTGAAAATGGCAAGACGATAAAGTTACAAAGACCTAACTCCTACCCCTGGGGTGGGGGAGCATTTGGAAGAAAGAAAACATTAAGAGGGAGGGGCTGGAGCGATGGCACTGTGGGGAGGGAGTTTGCCTTGCAGGTGGCTGACCCGTATGGTCCCCGAGCACCGCCAGGAGTAATTCCCTGAGCATCGCTGGGTGTGACCCAAAAAGCAACAAACAAAAAAACTATTAAGAGGGAGTTGGGGGGGGTAATGGCACACCTGGGGGCGCCCCCTATCCCAGCACCGGCCTGCTCAGGCACAAGGGGGGGGTCCCCACTCGGCGATCTCATCCTGCCCAGCTCTTCAAGGAGAGTTTCTGTTTGTTTGTTTGTTTGGTTCCGTCTGGGGACCACACCTGGTAATGCTCCAGGTTTACTCCTGCCTGTGCCCAGGAATCGCATCTGGCAGGGCTCGGGGGACTACATGGGATATCGGGGATCGAACACAGGCCAACTGCATCCAAGGCAAACGCCCTCCCCACCGCGCTACTGCTCCAGCCCCTTTGCAGAGAGAGTTCTGAGGAGGTCTGAAGAGCATCCACGGGTCACTGCCCCGTGCCTCTATGGGGTTCAAGGACCAGCGCCACCTCTATGCAGGGTTGCCAGGCAGCCTACGTGAAATGAACAGAGAAGACAATAGGGGAGAGGACGGGGCAGGGAGGGAGGGGTGCCTGGTGGTGGGGGGAACTGCAGAGGCGGGCCCAGGGCTTACCTCTTGAAGAGATCCTCATCCACCCCTGGGGGCTGCTGCCCGGCGCGGGGCTCGGGCTTGGGCGATCTGGAGCCTGCAAAGTAAGGACAGAGGCTGTCAGCAGCAGCCGGCAGCCACCGGTGGGAGCCTCTAGATGGACCCAGGACACAGCCCGGCTCCAGGGGACCCAGGCAGGGGGAGGAGGAGTGTCCAGTGGCACACGCTCCACCTGAGCGCCCGGCCCGGGGTCTCCATCACCCCTGAAATACGGGGGGCCACAGGCAGGCAAGCACTGCTTTCGGAGGGGGAGGGGGTCACATGCACCCCCTCTCCAGATCTCTGGTCCAGAATGAGGCAGGCACCCCGTCTCACCTTGACCCACATGAGCCCGCCGGCGGGGTGTCATAGACCCACCTTCACCCAACCACACGTCCCCACGAATCCCCTCTATGCTACCCCCCACTCTGCTCTGTGCTGCCGAAAGCTTCGGGCTACTCTCCCACCCTGCACCCATGCAGGCCCGAGTCCCTGGCTGCAATGAGGGCAGCATGGGGCGGCCACTCACCACCCCCACCCCAAGAAGCAGACCGAGCCAAAAGCACAAATGTGGAGGGAGGCCCCCGAGCCTCCGGGCAGCACCTCGAAAGAAGGCAAGAACACGCCCACCAGCCAGCCAGGCCTCAGGAAGGGAGGGGTCCCGGGCAGCCAAACACCACCGAGGCCTACACCAGCGGCTCCCTGGGCCAGGCGGCGGCCTATTCCCTGTTATTCACTGGAGTCAGAGCGTTCCCCATTATCAGGGGGTCCCTCCTTTAACGGTACAGGCCTCTCCCGCCCACTGCGGGGAAAGTGCCCACAATCCACTCCCCCGCCTTCCATGAAGGATCCCATATCCGGTCCCAGGCACCCTCCTCGCCCCCTGGGACTCTGAGCATTTAATATGTCTCTGGAATCCAGCCAGCACGCTTTTTCCTTTCGAGTCTGATGCAGAGCCAGGGACCAAACTTGGGCCTTCTACAGGTGAGGCAAGTCACCGGTTATGTCCCTGACGTGTGTCTTGCACTCATTAGCACCGCCGGCATCAGGTCACACGGCCACGGACAACGGTGCATTTTCCATTGGGTGATCTTAAGAGATCCGGAAGAGCTCTGTGTTTCCTAAGACGACGGATCCTCTTGCTCAGCGACTCATACCCCATGCCCTCGCCATCGCCGAACACGCTCATCTGTGCTTCACAGACCGCGAGGTCCAAGTGTGCCCACACTCATAAGTCCTGCCTCAGACTAGTGCCGCTGTCCTGCTTTAAGCTGCTGTGAATTGCTTTTTTAAAAATTTTTATCAGTGAAACACCATGAGGTACAGTTGTAGACTTAGAAATTTGTGCTTGAGTTTCAATTATACAATGATCAAGTACCCATCCCTCCACCAGTGCCCATTTTCCACCACCACGAATCCCAGTATGCTGTGAATTTCTCATGCCCGCTTTCTACCTGGAGCTTTCTTCGTGGCATCTGTACACAGCAGAGAGAACAGAGCAGAGACTTCAGGTTCATTAGGCACCCGCAGGTGACCCTGGTGGAGACCGCCGGGCCCGCCCCACCGTCATTATCCATTTTCCAACCCCCTTTTTATTTTATTTTTTTGCTTTTTGGGTCACACCTGGCAATGCACAGGGTTACTCCTGGCTCTGTACTCAGGAATTACCCCTGACAGTGCTCAGGGGACCACATGGGATGCTGGGAATCGAACCTGGGTCAGCCTCGTGCAAAGCAAATGCTCTACCCACTGTGCTATTGCTCCAGCCCCCTAAACCCCCTTTTTCTGAGGGGTCTCCGGCTTCTGACCAGCTTCCCCAGGGCCTCGCTCAGGGCTTAGGGCTCCTTCCCTGGGGGGGGGGGCTCACCCAGGCTCCCTCCTAGTGCACCTTTTTGGGGAGTGGGGGGGACAGCAGGCCTCCCCAGCCAGCAGGTGGCAGCTATCCCATGGGGTGTGGTGCTCACTGGGCGGGGCGCTTCCTGGGCCTGTACTGTGGGCAGCCACCAGGGCCACAGAGCCAGCCAGGGACCCGGGGCACTGGGAGGGTCTCACGAATGCGAGGCTCGCATGCCCCGAGTCACAGCACCCGGGCCCTGAGTTACCTTTTTATGGCTTTGATCCTCTTCTTCCTTTGTGGAAGGCACACCCGGAGATGCTCAGGACTCACACCTGGAGGGTCTCGGGGGACCATACTGGGTGCTGGGGCGGGCACATGCGGGGCGGGCGCCCTGCCCGCTGCACCATCTCTCCCAGCCCTGAATCTTATACTCAAGTCTTTTCATTGCCTCTAAAGTTTATCTTGGGGACCTGAGATGACACACGGAGTTAATTCCAATTTCTTCCTCTCACCTGATTCTATTCCATCACGACAAGGAAAGCGAGCATTGATCGTCCAAGTAAAAATATCTTTAAGTGAGTCGACCCCAAGAACGGGCCGTTTACACGGACTATTTATCTGCATTTACGTGGACTATTTTTCTGCGTTTAGAAACGCAACACTCGCCCTCGTCCTTGCAACGGGGAAACACTTGGTCACAACGGAAACCGAAGACAAATGAAAGCTCTATTCTTGCCCGATGGCCAAAACCGACCCAAACTGAAACAAATGATTCTTTTATCTTGCAAGCGCAAACCAATCGGTGTGTAACAGAGGTGGGCAACTTCTGCTTCTCTTTCACGGCTTTCTTCCTCTCCGCAGTCCATCCCGGTTTGCTGAAGTTCACCGCGTCATGCCAGACTCCTCTGGGAGCCTTCCCATCCGTCAGGGGCGCTCCCCAGCCCCCCGGGCTCCTGGGCAGGAGCACGTCTTCCTGGGGCACAGAGCCCAGTCAAGGACAGGCACTAGAGCAGTCAGGGTGGGTCCCAATGCAGGCACAGGAGGCGGGGACCTCCAGTGCTTGGAACACAACTCAGGACTGGTGGGCAGGAAGGCTGTGGTGCCCGGCACCACCCACCCGGTCCCAGGCCAGGCTGCAGACTCCAGGCCCAAACCGTCTCTCCACTAGTCCCAAACCTTTACTTCTTTATTTATTTTTATTCTTTTTGCTTTTTTTTAATTTTTATTAGTGAGACACCATGAGGTACAGTTGTAGACTTACAAATTTTTGTGCTTGGGTTTCAGTTGTACAATGATTGAGTACCCATCCCTTGGGTCACAGAGCTGGAGCGACAGCACAGCGGTAGGGTATTTACCTTGCACACAGCCAGCCCGGCCGAGTGGGGTTCGATTCCTCTGCCCCTCTCAGAGAACCCGGCAAGCTACCGAGACTATCTCGCTCGCACGGCAAAGCCTGGCAAGCTACCCATGATATATTCAATATGCCAAACACAGTAACAAGTCTCAAAATGGAGACGTTACTGAGCCCACTCGAGCAAATCGATGAACAATGGGAGGACAGTGTGTGTTTGTGTTTTTGGGTCACAGGGGTTTACTCCTAGCTCTGCACTCAAGAATTACTTCTGGCGGTACTCAGGGGACCTTATGGGATGCTGGGAATCAAACCCGGGTAAGCCACGTGCAAGGCAAATGCCCTACCCACTGTGCTATCACGCCAGCTTCCAGCCCAGTGTTTGTGGTTTTTTGGGTCACGGGGGTTACTCCTAGCTCTGCACTCAGGAATTACTCCTGGCGGTGCTCAGGGGACCATATGGGATGCTGGGAATCAAACCTGGGTAAGCCGTGTGCAAGACAAATGCTCTACCCGCTATGCTATCACTCCAGCCCTCAGCCCTCCACCTTTCAGATCCCAGGTCAAAGGTCATCTCCTGTTGAAGTCCTTCCCCAAGCAGGAAGTCACTGCCACCAGAGACATGCTGAGCCTGGGAGGCGTTTCTGGAAAGCGGGTTCCTGTCACCATCAGCTCTCTGCTTCCAGCCGGGCACCTTATGGGCAGACAGTGCTGAGGGTTGGCGGTCCAGGTCACCCCGTGCGCTGCAGGCACCAGGCACAGAAGGCACCACCAGAAGGCAGGGCTGAGACCACCGGCCCCAGTCCCTGCCTTCCCCGCTTTACGGGAGAGACACTTGGCATATGGCAGGGGCACGCGCTGAGGACCACAGGGACAGACACGGGGGGGGGGGCGGGGAGAGGGGCACCAGCTCCCCAGAGCACCAGGGCCCCTCAGGCCAGCGACGGAGGGGGGAGTCCTTGAGAGAAAGGACACAGCCAGGACGGTTCCAAGAACATTCTGTGGAAGCAGCTGCCTGCGTCCGGCACCTGACAGGTTTCCTCTCTAAAACCATTTCTGATAGCCGAGATAAGTACCAGAAGGTTCACTCCATGGCTTGGAGGCCAGCTGCACATGCTAGGGGGAAAAGGCAGCTCAGATAGAGAAGGGAGCACCACATAAAGGGTGTTTGGGAGGATCCTCCCAGGATGGGAGATGCATGCTGAAAGTAGACTATAGACCGGATATGACTGCCACTCAGTGCCTCTCTTGCAAACCACAGCACCCAAAAGGAGAGAGAGAACAAAAGGGAATGTTCTGCCACAGAAGCGGGATGGGCTGGGGGGTGGGAGGGATACTGGGACCCATGGTGGTGGAAAATGGGCACTGGTGGAGGGATGGGTACTCGATCATTGTATAACTGAAACCCAAGCACAAAAATTTGTTAGTCTACAACTGTACCTCGTGGTGTTTCACTAATAAAAATCTAAAATAAATAAATAAATAAAACCATTTCTGTTCTTGGCCATCAGGAAGGAGAACAACACAGATGCTGCCGTGTGTCACGGGCTCCAAGGAGGAGGGAACACATCACGCCACACCTGGTGGGGGCAGGAGCAGAGTCAAGCAGCCTGCCGGGACCCCAGGAAGCCCAGGAGCCAGGCCGGGGACCCCCATGGCCAGAGAGCTGCATCCAAGCCGTCCACTCCCTCCCGCCTAATGCAGTCCCCTCGAGCCCGGCAGCAGCACGGGGCAGGGAGCCTCTCAGACAGCACCTTTCTGGGGTCACCCTGCCCTTGGGCCTTATTTCTTCCTTCTGCGAGGGCAGGCGTGGGCTGAGCCACACCCCACAGTGCTCAGGGAACCATACATGCAGGTCCCAGGATGCGATCACCCCCTGCATGACCTCTGAAGCTCAGGCCTGGCCCCTCAGCTCCAAGAGAAACCCGACAGGAGGTGCGGGGAGCCCGTTCAAGCTGGCTGCGCTGCCCGCTGGCCCCGGCCCGGGGATGGGGCTCTCCTGCGGGTCCCGTGGGCGCTAGCCTGCCGCCTCTCCTCCCCACCCCACCCCACCCTGCCCCCCTTGCTCCCATCGTACCTTTCTCCCGGCCTTTGGAGGTGCCCCCGGCAGCAGGCGGAGGAACGGACGGAGCCGGGTGTCCAGCTTTGGGGTCCTTCATGCGGTTGACCACACTCTCCGACAGCTGAGGGAGGGAGACGGGGGGGGGGGCAAGTGTCACTCTGGAAACCCAAGCAGATGAAGACCACCCCATCCCCCGCGCCCACACCCACCACCCCTACTCCATGCCGCTCCCCAAAGACCAGTTGGAGAGACCCAGATCCCTAGGGGATCCCTCTGGTGCCAGCACCGGTGACCCACCGAGCACCACACCGAAGGCCGGCAGTCTGGCCCAGGGGAGCTCCAGCACCTTCTTCCGCAGCCACACTGCTCCGCCTGCCTCAGTGGCACCCGATGCTGCTGAACTCGTGAGGCGGTTCCTGTGCCCTCCCCAGACCTAATCCCCCGTCCAGATCCTGACCTTCCTTTGGGGACATCTGGGCGACCCCCACCCCGTGATCCCCTCCTAGGGCATCACCTCTCCTTGCCCCACCAGCCTGCCCCGTGAGCACACGTGTGCGCTGCCTCTCGGGGAATTACGGTAATGTCCACCGGTAATGTCCACCTGCCCCGTCCTAACGGGACACCTGGCCAGGTACCTGGGCTCCACGTCCCGTGCCCCCCGCCCCCCATCACCACACCGCGGGCCTCCTGTCACCTTCACCTCCCCCTCGTGGAGATGGGATAACCAAAGCTCTCCTTCATTTGAGACAAAGTGAAAGAGGCATGAGGGTGTCATAAAACCATTTACTGAAATGAAATAGCAAGCGAGGGATAAATCCGGAATAAAAAAAACCCTTAAGGGTTCACTTCAGTAAATATTTATTAAGAGCCTAATATGGGGACGGCCTCGTAAAGCACAGAGGAGGGGAAGACGCTGACGACGACGTGGGCAGCTGCCCACGCGGGCCCTTGGCCAGGGAAGGGCTCCCCCCTAAGCACAGAGGAAACTGCGAGGAAAGGAAGGAAAAGGAGCCGCCTCGGGGTAGCAACCGGCCCCGCTCAGGCAGGAAAGACGCCACAGGCTCGGGGGCGGGGAGCCTCCAGGTGCCACTGAGACAGGGCTGAGCGCCCAGGGCGCACCGTCGGTTACTCTGGGCCACGAAATTCTTCATCTGTCTCGACGCTGTGAAAAGACAGATGCCATCAGGTGAGGATGTGCCTCGAAGCAGAGCGCCTGCCTGGGATGGTGGAGGCCAGCATCACCCCAGGGCGCCACTGGTGGGGACCCCACGCCACCACCCAATTACCCCCCCCACCCCCCGTCCTGGTGCACACAGCAGCAACAAGGGGCCGGGAAGGGTCCCACCAGGGGCCATGCTAGAGGACAGGCCCGAGTCCCCGATGCCAGCACCACGGGAAGCCCAGTGGGGCCCCGGCACCGAACAAGGATGTCACACAAAACCAACACGGAGCCAACCCGAAACCTAAACGTCACCTAAAATGACTAATTTCTTAGAAGAAACCACAGGGGGCAAACCACGACCCTGGCTCCCCATGATGGATTCGTAGATATGATGCCACAGGAAGAACCAGATTCGTGGGCTTCATTGACGTGACCAAGTTCCGGGCCAGGGACAGCCAGGGCACAGTGGCAGAGTTCACGCCTCCCACTGAGACCCTCCCTCTGGCTCAGCAGGAGACAGGAAAAAAACGTTTTGTGCATCAAAGGACACGAGCACATGAACCGACAGCCCACAGCATGAGAGGAAACTCTGGCGGCTCATATCTGATAAGGAAGGTGATTTTTTTTTTTTTAAAAAGAACTACTCTCGGGGCTGGAGCAATAGCACAGTGGGTGGGCGTTTGCCTTGCACGCGGCCGACCCGGGTTCGATTCCCAGCATCCCACATGGTCCCCTGAGCACCGCCAGGAGTAACTCCTGAGTGCAGAGCCAGGGGTAACCCCTGTGCATCGCCAGGTGTGACCCAAAAAGAAAAAAAAAAAAAGAACCACTCTCGCTACTCGGTAATAGAGAAAAACGACCCAATTACCAAATGAGCTAAGAGACAGACAGGGCTGAGATCCGTGTTTCGCAGCCAGCTGGCCCCCCGTCTGACCCCCAACACCGCTCGGGGTCCCCCTCTCAACATCGCTGGGCGTGGCCTCGGGCCCTGGACTGACCTGCCGGCCAGGGGTGGGACCCGGGAGCCCTGGGCACCACTTGGGAGGCCAAATGGAAGAAAAGGAAAGTGAGCGGATTCCTCCGAAGAACAGGGACAAGCGATCAATAAGCAAACGGGAAGGTGCCGAGAGAACCAAAGTCAAACCGCAACGAGAGACCGAGAAACCGCCTCCTCCCCTCCGGGGGGCCGTGGCGTCAGCCGAGCCCGTGGACAAAGGGCCGGGACCTACTTCCGCTCAGTGCTGGCCAGGATGGAGAGATGCTGCAGCCGGTGGATGGAGGGACAGTGCCCCAGGCCCCTCCACCACAGGGTCCAGAGGAGACCCGGGCCCCCCACGTGCCCTGGCCACAGCTCTCCCCTGTGGACCCTTGCTGCACCTGTGGGGGACAGCCGGAGAGTCACGGCAGCCCCAACGGGCCTGGGGGGAGGGAGACGCTGTTCCCCACATGACGTGGCCGAGCTGAGGGGCTAGAGACATGGGGCAGCCTTGCCCCATGGAGGGGTTGCAAAAAAGGAAGCCGAGCCCCCCAGGCGGCCCGAAGCAGGGGGCCAGACCATGTGACTTGTGAGCACAGGCACTGACGGGGCCTGGGAACGTACAGCAGCAGGAGGCGGAGGAAAGTGCCAGGCCCGCTCTGTCCTGCACTGAGCACTCGCTGGTGATGCACCCACGGTGGGAGAGGAAGGTTCTAGAAAGAGCGGGAGGATGACGCAGCAGCAGCATCAGAAACACAGTCCCTGCATCAGGGCTTCCCAGCAAAGGGAAGCGGAGAATCACAGAAAGTGTTTCCCACGTCCGACGTCACCCAGCCAGGTCCTGTCGAGGGAAAAACGCACCACGGGCGTGTTTTCATGAAGTCTGGGCCAAGGCAGACAAACACCCAGGAAGCCGCCTTCCTGCCCATGCTGGGACTGAGGGAGGCAAGTCTCCGGGAAGGGGGCGGCCGGGCCATGAAGCAACCTTAGCCGCCGCGGACAGCGGCAAGGAGAAAGCAGACGGACGTCTGTTAGAACACATGGACGCACGGACGCTGGCCTTCTGCAAGCTACGTGGACAGAACATGGGGATGATGAGACCATGTGGGAAACAGCAGAGAATCCCAGGCAACTCCCGGGTGCATCCAACTCCCCCCGGGCGCTGCATCTATCAGGCAAATGCATCGACGCAACTGAAGTCACTCTTAGGTCCCGAGGAAAGCCGGGTCTGCAGAGGATGGGGGTGAGGGGTGGAACTTGGGGTGGTGCAATGAAGGGAGGCAATGACCAGAGCCTGAGACCAAACTCCTGAACTTCATGCAGCCTTGGGTGCACTTTGCCAATCAATCACTAAGACCTTACGCAGGTGGACGGCAGTGGGATATGGGCCATCATGGGAGCGATTAGCTGGAGCCAGAGACTAAGGACACAGGCTCTGTGGTAGGGGGTTTTGTGGGGGCGCTCCAGCAACCAGGCGTGGGTGGGGCTAGCCGGGGTCTCCCGCCCCATGCCACGGACATGACTCGCTGGGTCCTGGGGGACATGAGCTCCTGGCAAGCAGAGGGCAGCACGAGCCCCGCCCGACCCTGCAGGCCCCAGGGCCAGGCAGCAGCCCCCCCAGGGAGAAAGACGGTGGCCTGGTCACACCTGGGCGCCCCCCGCACGGGAAAGCCACAGCAGTGAGCGGGGACTGGACCCAGCACCCGGCCCAGTGGCCGCCCGCTAACCACGCTCCCCGGTTCGAGGGTGAAGGGAAATATTGGCAGGCATCTTGTTGGCAGTCGGAGACTTGTAATATTTTTTAATGTTGCTACAAAATACGGCAAGTAATATTTTTAATCAACAAACACACACACACACATACATACACAAGCGCGAGCACACACACACACACGCACACAGACATCACGCAAGAATAAACACCATCTGGGCAGTGCTCCCTGTACCAACAGAAACAGACTGGAGGTCTCGGCACCAGGGCCCGGGGTCACCATGCCACCGGGCTGGCCAGGACGCAGCTGCACAGTTGTTCGGAGGGGCTGGGGGTTGCGAGGCCAAACCAGGGCGGGGCAGGGCAGGAGGAGCCCCAGGGAGGCTGGGCCTGGGGACCCCCACCCAGGGCTGCAGCTTCTCGGAGCTCTAAGTCGTGCACCTACCCGGCGGGGGTCTCAAGACTGCCGTACAGGACCAAGTGTTTCGGGATACGAAGGCCTGGACCTGAGTCCCAAGCCACTGGCTCGCCATGCGGTGGCTCAGTGGCTGGAACCACACACTCCTCTCTGAGTCACCTGCTTCCCCTGGGAGACAGAAAGAAGGCACAGACCCCGGTGAAGCGATCCACAGGGAGCACAGGGCAGGGAGCACGGGACAGGGAGCAGGAAAGAGGAAGCACGGGGCAGGGAGCAGGGAGCACAAGGCAGGGAGCACGGAGCATGGGGAAGGGCGCTGGGAGCACATGGCGGGGCACAGGGAGCACAGGGCAGGGAACATCCCATCGGGTGCCGACCCAAGAGAAGCTGCCAAGGCCTGGGCACTCTCCACCTCCCCCGGGCCCGGGGCAGTCAGAGGAACAATCAGGGCGAACAGCACAGTCACCTCGTGCCACGGCTGCCCACAGAGACACAATACCATGGCACCCCCCCTTACTGTGACAAGCGGGGGGCCGAGAAGGGCCCTGGGGAGCCAGAGCTCAGCCGCAGTCACACCCCCAGGGACCTCTGGCACACGGGGGATCCAGAGCCGCTGCCCAACATTCGCTGCCCCAAACCGCACCCTCGCTCACAAGCCCCAGGGATGCGGGGACGCACCCACTGTGGGGCAGGTTTCTCTAGGAAGCCCGAGATCTCCGAGGGAGGGGAAGGGAGACACGCTACAGAAAGGGAGGGCCCGGGAGATGGCCCAATGGCTAGAGCAAGTGCCCAGCACACCCAAGGCTTCAAGCTGGATCCCCCGGGGCAACCCACCTGCGCCAGGTGTGGGCTGT